AACTTCACCACAGACAATATATTATTAATATTATTTCATAGACTAGAGACCGGTTAATATGCTTTCAAACACCAACAAGTATTCTTTTTATAACAATAATAATAAAAATATATGTTGTCTACGTTAATAAATAAATAACATGTATTTAACATATTTAAACTGGGTCTCTGAAACAAAAGTAGTAGGTTAGTTGAATTTCGGAAAAAAAGTTATTTTATGAACCAACGTGTGTTTGGATGCAATCGGGATACTTTTATTTGAAATATAATACGACTATCTGAATTAGGGCCGCAATCTGGCAACTCCGCGGGTGCGATCGTTCGCAGTGCGCAGTCTCTATGGGGTCGGAGAGTTTACTTTGGGGTGTGCATTGTATTGTAAGTATAATACGATGAGGGTCCGTTTTTCAGAATGCTATAACATATAATCAATAAAATATATTGAAAAGAAGGTGAATACAACTCCTAACATAATATAATATTTTTTTTTCAGGTTTGTGCCGACGATGCTGCGAAAACAGCTCTCGCAATAATTCCTCAAAAAAATATAACATTATTATTAAATGTTAAAGGAACTCCACCACAGACAATATATTATTAATATTATTTCATAGACTAGAGACTGGTCAATATGCTTTCAAATACCAACAAGTATTCTTTTTATAACAATAATAATAAAAATATATGTTGTCTACGTTAATAAATAAATAACACGTATTTAACATATGTAAACTGGGTCTCTGAAACAAAAGTAGTAGGTTAGTTGAGTTTCAGAAAAAATGTATCAAGTAATTTAAGTCCTAGAAAAATGTTAGTACATTAAATATAATAAGTACGTTAAATTTTATGATTAATAATTATGGTATAAATTAATAAATAATATGTGGTTTTTATAATGTCGTGTTCTCGATAAAAACTTAAATAATAGAAATTTAATAAATTTAAATGTTTTAAAGTTTATTTTATACCATTAAATATGAAACAAATAAAGTACTTTATCGAATTTTATTTTATTATTATTTTATTTTAACATTTAAAATAATAATAAAAACTTTTTAAATAGTGGCGTGAAGGAGAGGAAGCCCTCCCATAGGTCATTAAATTTGGTTAAAATTATTTGTCATCTCCTCAAAAAATTAATCAAAACCGCCACTGGTTACTTATACATTACTTTATATTATCCTCAAATCTCATAATGGCATGATGCATGTATATGTCTATGAATTGTCATCCAACAAAGAGAGGGGAGGCCATAATATTCGTGTTCGTAATAACCTTTCATATCAATAACTATACGATTTATACGATCTAAATTTCTGAGTCATTATTTAATCCTAGTGTAATTCTAAAGTGATTTTTGATATATAACATTATGGTAACTATCTATACACTCTTTAACAACATCAAAACACATAAATTATAAACATTGACATCGGAAAAATGGTTTAACCGTGCATCTGGCCTAAAATTATTTTAAACTGAAAATATTAATTACTGACCAAAAAATAGGATTTAGTATTTAATATAAACAACACATTAATTCTACGACAGTGTAACAACTAACACGTAAAAAATGTATAAAAAAAATAAAATATTAAAAATTATCAATGTTTCATTATTTATGAAAATTCAACTATACAAATACAGATCAGTAGATCACTAAGTAACTTATGTAAAATTATTTAAAATTAATTAAAAGGGAGTGAAGGGTTGTTATATTCAGTTCAATAGATAATAACAGTAAAAACAAATCATATAAAATATTATAAAAAATATGTATCTATTTTAAAATAGATTATAATATACTTATACGTAGTAATAGGTAATCTTTATCCTTATATATATATATGTTACGGTAAATTATGTTATATCGGAAATTAACGTTATTCGCCGGTTATTAATGTTATTTACCTACAAATGTGGGAATTATCGTTATTTTCTAGTGAATAACGTTAATAACCGTATGATTTAGGAAATTTTGATCTGATTATAAATTAAAAGAGGTCATTGCGGAAGATTTAAGAAAATAACCAAAGAAGACAAAATCGAAAATTAAATCATAGAAATCGCAGATAAAAATTTGGAACTTGGTACTTAAATATTTCTTAATTATTTAACGATAAATTTCCGAATTTTAAATATAACACAAATAAAACTAAAATTATTTTAAATATTTTGTTGATGATTGTCAAGAAAATATTTGTATTGCGTGTAAAAATTCAAAAAAAAAAAATTTAGAAAAAAAAGGAGAGGAAATGATGAAACTTTCTAAAGAAAAGTTTCCTCAGCTTGAAATAGGTATAACTGTATGTGTA